CTCGGTTGAGATCGCTTTAAATTTTATTTTAAATTAATCTAACGGATAATATTAATACCCTAAATTTAATAGAAAAAATAAGGGTCTAACGGTGTGTTTGGAGTGACGTTTTAAAAGTACTTTTTGAAATTATTTCTCATAAATACTTAAAAAAAATAATGTTTGAATCCGTCCCCACCACTAACTCTACTACCACCGCCATCGCCACCACTGTCGTCGCCATCACCACCACCATTGTCGCCGCCGCCACAGCCACCACAACCACTGTCGTCGCCACCGCCACTATCGCTAACCACTACCGCCGCCTCCGCTACCACTACCGCCACCACCACCACCACCGCCACCATTGTCATTGCCACTCACCATAACCATCACCTTCTCCTACCACCACCACTGCCGCCCACCACCTCTCACCCTCACTACAACCGATATTTAAATTCATTTATCTATCCTCTATGTTTGTGATTTAATTTTGGATATAAATACAAATATATTTATTATTTATCATTTTTTATTACTATGTGCCTTCAGACACATGCAATAATTAGTAATATTTATATAATAAAATAGAGCCGAGTTTGAATTTTGGAGACAAAGAGAGGTCCAGATCGTTTTGAGACAAAACATAAACATATCTAACGGACAACATAATCCCAACATAAAAGATGGTTCATATCATCTAAAAAAATTTGATCTAACAGTCTACAATGAGTATTAACTTTTATTTTCCCGCCCAATGATTCTAAGAGACCTTTAATTCTAAGACTCTGAAGTCTTTTTCTAACTTAAAATACATCTCTTATGGTCTCATAGTTTATCTGTTAAATCTTCTCTCGTATCATTCTCCTCTCTCACTCCTGTGTTGCCCTATTCTTTCTTGCCCCTCTCTTTTCTCTTTTCTCTTTTCTATTCTCTCTCTACAAGCCGGAGCTACCAAAGACCAACCGCCCAATAACCACTGGAACCACCACCAAGGTACTCCTTCCTCCCCTCATTCTCCCTATGCTTCTTATCCCCTACCCACTTCCACGACAACCACCAATGAGCTTTAAGGGAACCACCAACAACACCAACTATATCCCCCTAACCACCTCACATCGACCCCCATCAAAACCCCCAAACCACCCCCACCACTAAACCCCCAAACCACCGCCAAACCAGCCCCACTAAAATCACTCCAAGATCACAGCATCTCTAATCACACCGAAACCCCCAAACCCTCAAATGAGCCCCATTGATACCCCCAAGCCTGACCCACCACTAAACCCCAAACACACCGCTAAATCATCCTCACCGAAACCACTCCAAGATCGCAGCATCTCTGAACCACACACTTACATACAAATTTTAAATTACTGTGTGTATGTATTTTGTATTTGGTTTGTGTAACTTTGTTTGGTTTGGATTATTTTATATATTAAATTATTTTTTGACATGTATTCATTTGGGTGTTGATTGAATTTGATGATGATGATTTTTTTTCTTTTTTGTAGTTGATTGAATTGCTTTATGAGACTTGAGATTGGTGATGAGAGTTTGCTAATTTTGATTCGGATTTCTTGGCTTTTTCAGGGATTTGGGTACACCCTACTATGCGGCAGCAAAGCTTTTGAAGTGAAACTATGAGTCAGATGTTGATATATGGAGTGCTGGTGTGATTCTTTATATTTTGTTATGTGGGGTTCCCCATTTTTGTGCAAGAATTATTCATTGCCATTGGTATATACCTTCATTTTCTCTAAAATATCCTTTTTGATTTACTATGTTTCTAAGTACACAATTTGTCAAATTAAAGTTTTTGGTTAATACAATTTTTCAGAAAACAAATTTTTACAGAATGTGACCTTAAATCATGTGTTTAACCAAATTGAGATGAGTTTTTTTAATCCTTCTTGAGAAAAATGAAGCAACATGAAGCCTTTTAGATAAAATTATATTTCATTTTGTTTTGTTGTTACTAAAATCAATGGTTTCCTGTTTTCTCTTGGGAATAGCAAGATGAGGAATGAGTGGTGGTCTAGGTGATAACAGAGAGTCTCTCTTGGTCTCACTCTCTTGCCATCCCAAAATCCCACTGCTCTAGCCCATACCACACCAGCTCACAACACCAACCAATGATGCTCCTCCCTCTTTGTAGGTTTGTTGTTTGATGTCGGTGGATTTTTTAGTTATTATTTCTGTGTGGTTCTCTTTATTATTTATTATAAGTTTTATTGTTTTTAAATTTTTTATCAATTTGATCTATTTATGAGAATTGGGATTATTATGCTCACTATACTTTTCACCAATGCAGTAAAAAGTTATTTGCTTATGCATATTTTTATTATTTTGTGGGTTTTGTTGATTGAATTCATTAGTTTTTTAGATCTTAAGAAGTTTAGTGCCATGCCACATCACCTTATGCCTCGGAACATATTTTCTATTTGTTTTATTTGTATTGGTAAATCCTGTACTCATAAGTTGGGAGTTTATTTAGATTATGTAATTCTAGATTTCTATTTAATTAAGATTGTTGCTTCATGTTTTTCATGAATTATTGAATTTGTGTGATTTTCACGCAGAGACAAATTGTTTGTATATTGCTCGAATAAAAGCAACTCAAATTGACATGATTAACTAATTTAGTGCAAAGATTTGTCTTTGAAGTCTAAAATTTCCTTTCCTTTTTTATTTTTTATTTTTAATAAATGACCAGGTCATATTCCAATTTTTTATAGCACATCTAATCACATTTATATGAGTGTGTATAATTGGTCTGTCTTTTAATATGAGAGTCGGACTCTGGCAAAGGGATTAGCAATGAGAGGAGGTGAAGACTATGCCAATGACTTTGTTTGACCTTCCATGACTAGAGGTAAAGTCAAGGTTTGGGTTCAAAAATATTCAGGAGCTTAAATCGAACTATCTATATATTTTATTCTAGATTTGTATGCATAGTCATTGATAAAAATTTCTTTATTCCCAGTGATGTGGTGATTTTGTTTCTTAATTACTTTTTATTTTCCTGTAAGTAGTTGGAAGCTCTGAATTATTTGAAAACAATTTTTTATTTCTAGAGTCGATTTGGATGCAATTCATTGTACATGGAAGCGAGAAGCACAAAAAGTTTTGGATTATCATTTGTTGTAATGTATAATTTATTTTACCCCATTTTTGTTTGATTCGTTTGGTTATTTCTATCACATGTAATATTTGTGTTTGGGTTATTGATTTTTTTTGTAAACATAGGTTTTTTTTTGAGTTGTAAGATAAATTTTATTAGAGTTGTTGCACAATTGGCTTGGGTGTGATGCAATAACAAAGTGAAAAATTACAATTGCATTTGAATTTGTAGATGTGGTTTGATTATTGATGGAGTACAATGTATATACGAAGTAATAAGTTGTTGACTCTAATTTAGTAAGAAAATGGAGTTTTATTTCTCTACTTAATTGTTTGGTTACTTTACTTAACGTCACTTTGTTGGAGATCAAATTTAATTTTGTGCTGTAAGGAAGGCTATCCAACCAAATATTTGTTATCTAGACATTTCTACAGTCAAATTTACGACCCTTTTTGTTAGAATTTTGATTAATATTTTGGATGTAATCATTCTTTATTTTTCTCTTAAATTGGTCGTATGTTTGTTTCATTCTATTGGGTAGGCAATGCATCAATAATTTCATTCTACTCCCTCCTATTGTTGAGCTCACTGATTATTGATTGTTTCTCTCTTAGATCAGAGGTTGATTATTTATTCCACCATTGTAGATCATGTTTCTTTGCTTTTATACATATGTTTAAGAAATTCCTTCACTGTTTGTAGTAATTTGCCCTCATGCGGGGCAGTTACTCACTGCATTGTGCAAAAGTGTGCATAAACCTGTTACTTTGATAATTCCTTACTCTAGATTTCATTTTTAAACTTTTCATTAATCCTTATATTTTTCAATATTTGTTTTGGGTCACTCATTGTTTTACAATCTGCTTTTTCAAATGCAGATATCAATGACACCTCAAATGTAGTAAATGTACCAACCGAAATAGGTACATAAATCATGCAATATATTGACTGCTGTTTTTGGTTGATTCAATTCAAGTGAAAATTTTTGTTAGATATTTTATGCTATGACTTGATTTTATCTATATAGTTAAAGCTATATGGTATGTGTTTATGGAACACTATTCTTGCATGTTGGGATATTTGATTTTTTTTTCCCAATAAAATCTATGTCTTTTTCTACATTCAAGATAAGGGATTATAAGTTATGCAACATCTTGATATGGGCAATCGTGATTTGATCACTTTTCTAATTATGTGCATTGAGCAGGTTGAATCTTGATTTGAAGGAATAATAACAAGAGATTAAATTCTTTACAGGCAAGCCTGTAAACAAATATTTACATACAATCAATCAAAATTGAGGAGTTACATGAACACATAAATCAATATTGAGGATTTCCACTGAGTTTGTGTAATTCCTTAATTTTGATTGGTTGTCAGTATACAATTTAAAGAATCTAATCTCTAATAGCAATGAAAAGAATTTATTGAAAGAAAAAAAAAAGAACTTCAACTCTATTCAACTCTGATGAAATGCAATTGAAAGTAGATGGATAAAAATGGTTGCTTTGTTGTATCTAATCTTTAAATTTCACCTAATCTTTGATTAAATATTTGTCCTTTTCAATTATGGGTGGGACAATACACAACATATTTTTTATAGTTGGTGGGTATTTTATTGTAATTTTTAAATTAAGCTGGTTAGTCTAGATGAATTTTAACTATGCTAATATTCAATGCTCTAATGGATGTATACACCTTTTGCAATGAATTTTGGTTTTTTTTGGCAATATTTGTTTTAAAAATTATACATATCTTCGGTCACGAAGATTAACCGGTAATATAATATAATATAATATATAAGGAGTAGTTTCAAGGTGCAGAAAGGTAGCTACAGCATTATCCTTGAAAATGGAGAGCAGACTAATAATGTCTCACTTTGGCTTCTTGCTCGCCTATGCGACTCTGTTACTCTCAGTTGGTCTCAAGGCATCTGGTGGTCCCTCGGAGATCAAGACCGGCACCGCTTTTTTCATCTTCGGCGACTCCTTTCGTGGACTCTGGCAACAATAACTACATCGACAACGGCCCTGAGAACCCGGGAAATTACAAGCCTTTCGCCCAAAATGGCTTCTTTAAAGAACCCACTGGACGCTTCTCTGATGGCCGCATTATAGTTGATTATATAGGTAGGTAATCACAACATACATATAATTAATTAATTATTCAACTATCTAGTAATGAATTTCTTGGAAAGAGATTACGATTATCTAATTGCTTGACAACTTAACTTTCGATTATGGCTGATGACTTTGGGATCGATCACATATTCATAACTTGACGGATGGTATATATGGTGGTGAATGGTGATCCATCTAGCTGAATATGCCAACTTGCCACTAATTCCTCCATTTTTACAACCCTCTGCTGAATACGTGAATGGGAGCTTTTAACACATACCACGGGACTTCAAAAAAAAAAAAAAGTCTCAAATAATGGTGGTTTTAAAAGCAATTCTCAAATACAGGCAATTTTTAAAAATGTCAAATGAATTGATATTTTTAGGCTAAAGATGTCAAATGAACTGATGTCTTTATCCTAAAAACGTCAGTCCATTTAACGTTTTTTAGTTCAATACTGTAGATCAGCCCATGAACTTAAAAATCTTAGTCGATGTAAAGTTTTTATAATAGACGTCAAACCGTTTGACATCTTTAATCCCTCACGTCTGAACATTTCAATCTGTGCAGTGTAGCCGCAATCTTTGACATTTAGGTTGAAGTACAACAAACAAATGAGTTTATTTTTATGTTATTTTAATTTATATAATTATCATAATTGTCCATTAGTTTAGATAATTATTATAACTGCCCCCTAATTTTTATCTTGGGTTTTAATTTAGTCTTTAGTGATAGGATTTTTGCCTTTTTTTATGAGTAAAATGTTAAATATTTATTTAATAAAAAAAATTTGATATTTTAAAAATAGAAATTTTTTTTGTTATTTATTTATAAATGTAATTACATTAAATAAATAAATTTTGATAATTTAAAAATACTTAAATTTCTGACGTTTAACACATCACTCCACCGCCAGTCCATCTCATTCAAATTGGGCTATTTTATTATTTATTTTGCTCATTTTTTTGTAAAAAGTCACATTATTTGTTTATCACTCTACTTGATTTGGGTAATTGTCAATGACCCCTAAATTTTGCTCTCGAGTTTTAATGTTTATTTCCAATTTTCTAGCGACCACCACCACCGAAAGACGCAACACCCCCACCATCGCAGCACCACCCCACCACCATCCTACATAGCCACTGTGCCCCACCTTCCCAGCACCACACTATACTACAGTAGTACCACCCTACACCAACTTGCACAACCCAGCAGCACCCATAGAATTCGGCTGATATTTACAATTCACAGAATTCAAACAATCATGACGAGGTCATTTCAAGGCTTCAACGTGAAAAATGATCAAATGCAGTGTCGCATTGATCGTTTTTACGCACTCGATTATGCTAAAATAGAGCATTTTGATCCTGAATATGCCGAAATTAAAATTTTAGAGGATTCGTTACTTATTTCTGATCCTGAATTTTCTAATTTCTTTGATTTGGACAATGATGCGTCTAACACTTTTATCCCATCATGTTTATGTATACTCGATAATCCTTTATGTTGTTTTGAATATAAACCACGTTGTTGATATCTTATTTTTTCATTTATACGTTCTGAATAATTTATATTTTTTCAAAACGTATACTTCTAGAGGAGAAAGTATTGGGTGTAATGCTTATAGTTTGTATGGGACCTTAAATTTAATTATATGTATATGTTTTTAATTTTTAAAGATATGCTAAAAAAATATAAGTATTTTTAAATTATCAAAATTTATTTATTTAATGTAATTAATTTTTTAATTCAATAAAAAAAAACTCATCCTCTCACAAAGAGAGGGAGCTAAAAATTTTGAGCTTTTAATGGAAAGATTTAAAAGCTTTTAATCCTGAATATGACGATGAAAATTAATGAAAAATAATTAATTGAAATAAAATTGATAATTAATGGATTAAATTAAAAGAATTACAATTTTATGGACTACATTAAAACCTGAGAGTAAAATTTGGGGGTCACTTATGATAATTACCCAAATTAAGTAGAGTGATAAACAAATAATGTGACTTTTTACAAAAAAAATGAGCAAAAAATAAAATAAAATAGCCTAATTTGAATGAGATGGACCGACGTTGGAGTGATGTGTTAAACGTTAGAAATTTAAGTATTTTTAAATTATCAAAATTTTTTTATTAAATGTAATTACATTTATAAATAAATAACAAAAAAAATTTATCTTTTTTTAAAATATCAAAATTTATTTATTAATTAATTTTTTTTATTAAATAAACATTTAACATTTTACTCATAAAAAAAGGCAAAAACCCTATCACTAAGGACTAAATTAAAACTCAAGATAAAAATTAGGGGCAGTTATAATAATTATCTAAACTAATAGATAGTTATGATAATTATATAAATTAAAACAACATAAAAATAAACTCATTTGTTTGTTATACTCCAACTTAAAGGTCAAAGATTGCGACTACACTACATGGATTGAAATGTTCAGATGCGAGGGGTTAAAGACATCAAACGATTTGACGTCTACTATAAAGATGTTAAACCGACTAACGTTTTTAAGTTCTTAGGTTGATCTATAGTATTGGACAAAAAAACATCAAATGGATTGACGTTTTTAGGATAAAGACGTCAGTCCATTTGACGTTTTTAGCCTAAAAACGTCAATTTATTTGACGTTTTTAAAAACTGTTTACATTTGAGAATTGCTTTCAAAATCACCATTATTTAGGACTTTTTTTTAAAAAAGCATGAGATGGGTCAAAAGCTCACGTGAATGGAGTCAACTTTGCCTCTGGAGGGGCTGGAATTCTTTCTACCACCAATCAAGGCCAGGTAAGGAATTCCTTCCATCACTAACCATTTACACAGTTCAACAATATGTACAAATCAACACGATTGTTAGACCCAAAATCAATTGTCAATCAGGGTGTGCCGTTCAAATATATAAACCAACTTCGTCATCCGTCTACTAAAATTTTCTACTCAACTTGTGAATTTTCCGCTGTTGTTAGGCCATTGATCTTAAGACACAACTCAAACACTTTGAAGAGGTGCAAAATTCACTAACAAAGAATTTGGGAGATGCAGAAACAAAGGAGCTTCTATCGGAAGCAGTTTATTTCATTAGCATTGGAAGTAATGATTATATGGGTGGTTATCTTGGTAATCCAAGAATGCAGGAACAGCATCCTCCCGAAGAATATGTTGGGATGATCATTGGGAGGTTGACACAAGCAATCCAAGTAAGCTTACACCTTTTGCCTTTTTTCTATATGTTCCTTGTAATTGAAACTAGTTTAAGGTTTGATTGGAATGTTGATCTTGCGATGCCTGGTTACTGACTCATTTTTGCTTGTAATGACTCAAGGAATTGCACGAGAAAGGCGGTAGAAAGTTTGGTTTCCTAAGCTTGCCACCACTGGGTTGCTTACCAGCCCTTAGAGCCCTCAACACCAAATCTAATGAAGGCAGTTGTTTTGAAGAGGCTTCTACTCTCGCGTTGGCACATAATAATGCTTTGAAAGCTGTCCTAACAAGAATTGAACATCTATTCATGGGTTTCAAATACAGCAATTCCTATTTTTACAATTGGCTTGACGACAGAATCAATAATCCCACCAAATATGGTATGTGTACTGCAAACCCCCAATATTCCACAATGTTCAGCATCCTATAGGCAATCATAAGCATCTGATTTACTCTTCTGACACCTGAAAAATAACATAGAGGAGATAAAAATATTGAGATCTGATTGCTGCATTGATTCCCAAAAAAATTTTACTCACGTTCATCTAATGTCAACATTAGAAATGGTTACTTACCCAAAAAAAATATTAGGAATGGTTAGTCAACTGTAGGTCATAGCATATATTATCTTTCACACCCAATCAGAAATAGTCACAAATGTTGGTTTTTTTTTTATGGAGTCTAGTTTGTATATGTGATCCGGATGATGACCCGACCCGAAGTAATGTTGTGTGGTTATTAATGGAAAATTTTCTGAGGCTTAGTCCATGGAGCGAAGGCTTGGGCCGAGGAAAACTTTTTTGGGCCCGTTATACAGCCCAGTGCGTAGGACATATAAACCCTGTTGTTTTGGTGATTAGGGTTAATCGTGGATTGAACAGCCGCTCTCTGTATTCAACTTTCTCAATTACTACTAGCATTGCTGCATGGATGATGCTCTGCCATTTAATTACTACTGGTTGTGCTTCGCGGTAGATGTCCCAAGACGAANTATTTATTTTGCTCATTTTTTTGTAAAAAGTCACATTATTTGTTTATCACTCTACTTGATTTGGGTAATTGTCAATGACCCCTAAATTTTGCTCTCGAGTTTTAATGTTTATTTCCAATTTTCTAGCGACCACCACCACCGAAAGACGCAACACCCCCACCATCGCAGCACCACCCCACCACCATCCTACATAGCCACTGTGCCCCACCTTCCCAGCACCACACTATACTACAGTAGTACCACCCTACACCAACTTGCACAACCCAGCAGCACCCATAGAATTCAGCTGATATTTACAATTCACAGAATTCAAACAATTATGACGAGGTCATTTCAAGGCTTCAACGTGAAAAATGATCAAATGCAGTGTCGCATTGATCGTTTTTACGCACTCGATTATGCTAAAATAGAGCATTTTGATCCTGAATATGCCGAAATTAAAATTTTAGAGGATTCGTTACTTATTTCTGATCCTGAATTTTCTAATTTCTTTGATTTGGACAATGATGCGTCTAACACTTTTATCCCATCATGTTTATGTGTACTCGATAATCCNTGACATGATTAACTAATTTAGTGCCAAGATTTGTCTTTGAAGTCTAAAATTTCCTTTCCTTTTTTATTTTTATTTTTTAATAAATGACCAGGTCATATTCCAATTTTTTATAGCACATCTAATCACATTTATATGAGTGTGTATAATTGGTCTATCTTTTAATATGAGAGTCGGACTCTGGCAAAGGGATTAGCAATGAGAGGAGGTGAAGACTATGCCAATGACTTTGTTTGACCTTCNTAAACCACGTTGTTGATATCTTATTTTTTCATTTATACGTTTTGAATAATTTATATTTTTTCAAAACGTATACTTCTAGAGGAGAAAGTATTGGGTGTAATGCTTATAGTTTGTATGGGACCTTAAATTTAATTATATGTATATGTTTTTAATTTTTAAAGTTTGATATGCTAAAAAAATATAAGTATTTTTAAATTATCAAAATTTATTTATTTAATGTAATTAATTTTTTAATTCAATAAAAAAAAACTCATCCTCTCACAAAGAGAGGGAGCNTCTTTATTTTCCTGTAAGTAGTTGGAAGCTCTGAATTGTTTGAAAACAATTTTTTATTTCTAGAGTCGATTTGGATGCAATTCATTGTACATGGAAGCGAGAAGCACAAAAAGTTTTGGATTATCATTTGTTGTAATGTATAATTTATTTTACCCCCTTTTTGTTTGATTCGTTTGGTTATTTCTATCACATGTAATATTTGTGTTTGGGTCATTGATTTTTTTTGTAAACATAGATTTTTTTTTGAGTTGTAAGATGAATTTTATCAGAGTTGTTGCACAATTGGCTTGGGTGTGATGCAATAACAAAGTGAAAAATTACAATTGCATTTGAATTTGTAGATGTGGTTTGATTATTGATGGAGTACAATGTATATACGAAGTAATAAGTTGTTGACTCTAATTTAGTAAGAAAATGGAGTTTTATTTCTCTACTTAATTGTTTGGTTACTTTACTTAACGTCACTTTGTTGGAGATCAAATTTAATTTTGTGCTGTAAGGAAGGCTATCCAACCAAATATTTGTTATCTAGACATTTCTACAGTCAAATTTACGACCCTTTTTGTTAGAATTTTGATTAATATTTTGGATGTAATCATTCTTTATTTTTCTCTTAAATTGGTCGTATGTTTGTTTCATTCTATTGGGTAGGCAATGCATCAATAATTTCATTCTACTCCCTCCTATTGTTGAGCTCACTGATTATTGATTGTTTCTCTCTTAGATCAGAGGTTGATTATTTATTCCACCATTGTAGATCATGTTTCTTTGCTTTTATACATATNATGAGCAAAAAATAAAATAAAATAGCCTAATTTGAATGAGATGGACCGACGTTGGAGTGATGTGTTAAACGTTAGAAATTTAAGTATTTTTAAATTATCAAAATTTTTTTATTAAATGTAATTACATTTATAAATAAATAACAAAAAAAATTTATCTTTTTTTAAAATATCAAAATTTATTTATTAATTAATTTTTTTTATTAAATAAACATTTAACATTTTACTCATAAAAAAAGGCAAAAACCCTATCACTAAGGACTAAATTAAAACTCAAGATAAAAATTAGGGGCAGTTATAATAATTATCTAAACTAATAGATAGTTATGATAATTATATAAATTAAAACAACATAAAAATAAACTCATTTGTTTGTTATACTCCAACTTAAAGGTCAAAGATTGCGACTACACTACATGGATTGAAATGTTCAGATGCGAGGGGTTAAAGACATCAAACGATTTGACGTCTACTATAAAGATGTTAAACCGACTAACGTTTTTAAGTTCTTAGGTTGATCTACAGTATTGGACAAAAAAACATCAAATGGATTGACGTTTTTAGGATAAAGACGTCAGTCCATTTGACGTTTTTAGCCTAAAAACGTCAATTTATTTGACGTTTTTAAAAACTGTTTACATTTGAGAATTGCTTTCAAAATCACCATTATTTAGGAATTTTTTTTAAAAAAGCATGAGATGGGTCAAAAGCTCACGTGAATGGAGTCCACTTTGCCTCTGGAGGGGCTGGAATTCTTTCTACCACCAATCAAGGCCAGGTAAGGAATTCCTTCCATCACTAACCATTTACACAGTTCAACAATATGTACAAATCAACACGATTGTTAGACCCAAAATCAATTGTCAATCAGGGTGTGCCGTTCAAATATATAAACCAACTTCGTCATCCGTCTACTAAAATTTTCTACTCAACTTGTGAATTTTCCGCTGTTGTTAGGCCATTGATCTTAAGACACAACTCAAACACTTTGAAGAGGTGCAAAATTCACTAACAAAGAATTTGGGAGATGCAGAAACAAAGGAGCTTCTATCGGAAGCAGTTTATTTCATTAGCATTGGAAGTAATGATTATATGGGTGGTTATCTTGGTAATCCAAGAATGCAGGAACAGCATCCTCCCGAAGAATATGTTGNTTAGTTCAATACTGTAGATCAGCCCATGAACTTAAAAATCTTAGTCGATGTAAAGTTTTTATAATAGACGTCAAACCGTTTGACATCTTTAATCCCTCACGTCTGAACATTTCAATCTGTGCAGTGTAGCCGCAATCTTTGACATTTAGGTTGAAGTACAACAAACAAATGAGTTTATTTTTATGTTATTTTAATTTATATAATTATCATAATTGTCCATTAGTTTAGATAATTATTATAACTGCCCCCTAATTTTTATCTTGGGTTTTAATTTAGTCTTTAGTGATAGGATTTTTGCCTTTTTTTATGAGTAAAATGTTAAATATTTATTTAATAAAAAAAATTTGATATTTTAAAAATAGATTTTTTTTTTGTTATTTATTTATAAATGTAATTACATTAAATAAATAAATTTTGATAATTTAAAAATACTTAAATTTCTGACGTTTAACACATCACTCCACCGCCAGTCCATCTCATTCAAATTGGGCTATTTTATTATTTATTTTGCTCATTTTTTTGTAAAAAGTCACATTATTTGTTTATCACTCTACTTGATTTGGGTAATTGTCAATGACCCCTAAATTTTGCTCTCGAGTTTTAATGTTTATTTCCAATTTTCTAGCGACCACCACCACCGAAAGACGCAACACCCCCACCATCGCAGCACCACCCCACCACCATCCTACATAGCCACTGTGCCCCACCTTCCCAGCACCACACTATACTACAGTAGTACCACCCTACACCAACTTGCACAACCCAGCAGCACCCATAGAATTCAGCTGATATTTACAATTCACAGAATTCAAACAATTATGACGAGGTCATTTCAAGGCTTCAACGTGAAAAATGATCAAATGCAGTGTCGCATTGATCGTTTTTACGCACTCGATTATGCTAAAATAGAGCATTTTGATCATGAATATGCCGAAATTAAAATTTTAGAGGATTCGTTACTTATTTCTGATCCTGAATTTTCTAATTTCTTTGATTTGGACAATGATGCGTCTAACACTTTTATCCCATCATGTTTATGTGTACTCGATAATCCTTTATGTTGTTTTGAATATAAACCACGTTGTTGATATCTTATTTTTTCATTTATACGTTTTGAATAATTTATATTTTTTCAAAACGTATACTTCTAGAGGAGAAAGTATTGGGTGTAATGCTTATAGTTTGTATGGGACCTTAAATTTAATTATATGTATATGTTTTTAATTTTTAAAGTTTGATATGCTAAAAAAATATAAGTATTTTTAAATTATCAAAATTTATTTATTTAATGTAATTAATTTTTTAATTCAATAAAAAAAAACTCATCCTCTCACAAAGAGAGGGAGCTAAAAATTTTGAGCTTTTAATGGAAAGATTTAAAAGCTTTTAATCCTGAATATGACGATGAAAATTAATGGAAAATAATTAATTGAAATAAAATTGATAATTAATGGATTAAATTAAAAGAATTACAATTTTATGGACTACATTAAAACCTGAGAGTAAAATTTGGGGGTCACTTATGATAATTACCCAAATTAAGTAGAGTGATAAACAAATAATGTGACTTTTTACAAAAAAAATGAGCAAAAAATAAAATAAAATAGCCTAATTTGAATGAGATGGACCGACGTTGGAGTGATGTGTTAAACGTTAGAAATTTAAGTATTTTTAAATTATCAAAATTTTTTTATTAAATGTAATTACATTTATAAATAAATAACAAAAAAAATTTATCTTTTTTTAAAATATCAAAATTTATTTATTAATTAATTTTTTTTATTAAATAAACATTTAACATTTTACTCATAAAAAAAGGCAAAAACCCTATCACTAAGGACTAAATTAAAACTCAAGATAAAAATTAGGGGCAGTTATAATAATTATCTAAACTAATAGATAGTTATGATAATTATATAAATTAAAACAACATAAAAATAAACTCATTTGTTTGTTATACTCCAACTTAAAGGTCAAAGATTGCGACTACACTACATGGATTGAAATGTTCAGATGCGAGGGGTTAAAGACATCAAACGATTTGACGTCTACTATAAAGATGTTAAACCGACTAACGTTTTTAAGTTCTTAGGTTGATCTACAGTATTGGACAAAAAAACATCAAATGGATTGACGTTTTTAGGATAAAGACGTCAGTCCATTTGACGTTTTTAGCCTAAAAACGTCAATTTATTTGACGTTTTTAAAAACTGTTTACATTTGAGAATTGCTTTCAAAATCACCATTATTTAGGAATTTTTTTTAAAAAAGCATGAGATGGGTCAAAAGCTCACGTGAATGGAGTCCACTTTGCCTCTGGAGGGGCTGGAATTCTTTCTACCACCAATCAAGGCCAGGTAAGGAATTCCTTCCATCACTAACCATTTACACAGTTCAACAATATGTACAAATCAACACGATTGTTAGACCCAAAATCAATTGTCAATCAGGGTGTGCCGTTCAAATATATAAACCAACTTCGTCATCCGTCTACTAAAATTTTCTACTCAACTTGTGAATTTTCCGCTGTTGTTAGGCCATTGATCTTAAGACACAACTCAAACACTTTGAAGAGGTGCAAAATTCACTAACAAAGAATTTGGGAGATGCAGAAACAAAGGAGCTTCTATCGGAAGCAGTTTATTTCATTAGCATTGGAAGTAATGATTATATGGGTGGTTATCTTGGTAATCCAAGAATGCAGGAACAGCATCCTCCCGAAGAATATGTTGGGATGATCATTGGGAGGTTGACACAAGCAATCCAAGTAAGCTTACACCTTTTGCCTTTTTTCTATATGTTCCTTGTAATTGAAACTAGTTTAAGGTTTGATTGGAATGTTGATCTTGCGATGCCTGGTTACTGACTCATTTTTGCTTGTAATGACTCAAGGAATTGCACGAGAAAGGCGGTAGAAAGTTTGGTTTCCTAAGCTTGCCACCACTGGGTTGCTTACCAGCCCTTAGAGCCCTCAACACCAAATCTAATGAAGGCAGTTGTTTTGAAGAGGCTTCTACTCTCGCGTTGGTACATAATAATGCTTTGAAAGCTGTCCTAACAAGAATTGAACATCTATTCATGGGTTTCAAATACAGCAATTCCTATTTTTACAATTGGCTTGACGACAGAATCAATAATCCCACCAAATATGGTATGTGTACTGCAAACCCCCAATATTCCACAATGTTCAGCATCCTATAGGCAATCATAAGCATCTGATTTACTCTTCTGACACCTGAAAAATAACATAGAGGAGATAAAAATATTGAGATCTGATTGCTGCATTGATTCCCAAAAAAATTTTACTCACGTTCATCTAATGTCAACATTAGAAATGGTTACTTACCCAAAAAAAATATTAGGAATGGTTAGTCAACTGTAGGTCATAGCATATATTATCTTTCACACCCAATCAGAAATAGTCACAAATTACAATATAGAGATCAAATAAGATTGGGTTTGTAGTTAGTGATCAGTAGTGTAGGATCGATCCTATTCCTGTCATCGCTTTGCTTTACTGCTATATGTATGCTCCCTATTGTATTTCGGATTTCAGTTAGCACATTGAGGTGGGGATGTATCAGTAGTCTTAGCTAATAATCAGTGCTTTCTTTGGTTGTAAAGGTCTCAAGGATGGAGTGAATGCTTGTTGTGGAACTGGACCCTATGGGGGCATCTTCAGCTGTGGAGGCACAAAGAAGGTGAGAAAGTACCAATTATGTGATAATGCTGATGACTATGTATGGTGGGATTCTTTCCATCCAACTGAGAGGATCCACGAACAATTTGCAAAGGTTCTGTGGGATGGACCTCCATCCTATGTAGCCCCATACAACCTAAAAGATCTCTTCCTCACGATCAACAAGGAGAAGCTCACTATTGGTGATATTGTTGACAACCCAGAGAACGAGCAGATTTTTTACGAATCTCTGTAACACTTGTTTTATTTCACATGGGAAGGGTAGTTTCACCAACAACTTCATCGTATTGTCCACCACCGATGGATGTGGATTATGGATTATAAGCATGTTAATTATTCCAAATGCAGTGCCAACGCTGTTGGTAGAGGTAAAATTTCAAACGCTCTCTGCTTAATTTGCACCATTTACTTCTCTGTTGCTTTTGGCAATTTTTTTTCTTCTTTTGCTTGCCAATAAAAGAAGTACAGGGAAAGGAGTGCATGAAATAAAAACTATGGACTAATACTATCTTAGCTAAGGCTACTTCTATCTCCACAGACACATTCTGTGGTGTGCTGTGGGAGAGCTTCTGCTTCCAACAAACCAGTAAAATCCATGGCTAGTCCCAATTTGGCCAAAGCGTGAGCTTTTAGAATTGGATTCCCTTGAAATATGATTCATGGCCCAGTTTAGATGAGTTGCCAAGAACTTCTTGATGTCTTGGATTTGGATAATATGGAAAATGGACCAGTGAACCTTAATATGTTCAAGCATTGCTGCATGGATGATGCTCTGCCATTTAATTACTACTGGTTGTGCTTGGCGGTAGATGTCCCCAGACCAACCCGGTGATTAATCGTATGGTTGTTTGGACTGACTAGTGACAGGTATTACTCATAAAACAAAAATTCGAGACTACGACCCTTTGCTCTCTTAACCAAACACAGCATCTATAGACTCCATAAACTATAAGTCCATGACATCTTTATGCTATCAAGCCATACAAAAAACCCTCCACTGCAAATGCTACTTGAGTTAGCTGAGTATTTGAGGATGCCGTTGCTGCACTCATCTGGAAAATATCTGGGGTTGCCAACTGAATGGGGGAGATCAAAGAAGCAAACTCTTGGATGGATGAAAGACAGAATTCTAAGCAAGATAGCCGGGTGGAAAGAAAAAATGTTGAGCTACGCTGGGAGAGAGATTCTTATTAAAGCAGTGGTACAATCAATTCTGAACTATGCAATGTCAATCTTTAAATTTTCAATGTCTTTCTGCCAAGAAATCACAGCTAGAATTAGGAGTTTTTGGTGGAGTAAGTCTACAGGAGAAAAGGGGATTCACTGGACAAAGTGGTATCAAATAACTAAAAGAAAGCAGGATGGAGGACTNCCTTGAAATATGATTCATGGCCCAGTTTAGATGAGTTGCCAAAAACTTCTTGATGTCTTGGATTTGGATAATATGGAAAATGGACCAGTGAACCTTAATATGTTCAAGCATTGCTGCATGGATGATGCTCTGCCATTTAATTACTACTGGTTGTGCTTCGCGGTAGATGTCCCAAGACGAACCCGGTGATTAATCGTATGGTTGTTTGGACTGATAAGTCGCAGGTATTATTCATAAAACAAAAATTCGAGACTATAACTCTTTGCTCTCTTAAACACAACATCTATAGACTCCATGAACTATAAATCCATGTCATCTTTATGCTATCAAGCCATACAAAAAACCCTCTAATTTTGCAAGATTCAAATTACATCTGATGAACAAATGAAAAAAAACCTATCATTTACTTCATACATTACCAGTTAAATAAGTTTGTCACTGATGATACCTCAAACAAGCCATAGCTGTGAGGTCAGGTCAGGAGGTCGGGTCAGGAGGTCAGGAAAGATACGAGGAACTCAGAGAACCACGGGTGGAGTTCCCCTTGGGGAGATCGTAATTGAACCGACCAGGAAACAGCTGGATGACTATGAAAATTAGGCTTCATGCGTGAAATTTTCAACCAACCAAGATTCTCTCCTAAAATTAAGGAGGATCCCATGAATGATGGGCAAAGATCTCGGCCGAAATCCCACGAAATAGGGGGTAGGCTTATAAAAACTACGCAACGCCTTAACGTGATAGGCAGGGGAAAAATAAAAGGAGAAAAACCCTAATCCGTTTAGCACTGTCTAGTGTTACAGTCAACTAATCAATAGAGAAGAAAATGAGCAAAAACCTCCATTGAAGAGTGGACTAGCCGAGCTCCTGAGCCGGTGAACCACTATATTTTCACTGTGTACACCCTTTTAATCCTCTCAATATTTTATTGTAGCATCATACATGAGCCTCGAAGCTCTAATCCATGCTTATCTCACGTTACTTGCACCTTAAGCTCATCCACGTTGATTTACACCATCAGTTTGGCACCGTCTGTGGGAACGACTGTTCCTGTTACAAATAAACTGATTTTTCAGTGACTGATGGTGTCAACACGAAACATGAACAGAAGCCAAACAAACCCATCTCAGAAGCAGGACCAACAAGGAGCCACCAATGACAGACAGCTCAAGAACGTCCTAGAGATTGATCCTCCCATGGGGAATCCCCCCCACAAATAACGAGATGGAGGCCCTTCGCCTCATTAATCAACGCTTGATAAAGCAAAACGAGGAGCTCTTGAAGCTCTTGTAGTGCCCACAGGAGGCACGTCCGGCCCAAGAAGATTAGAACAGTCCCCACTACAGGGACCAACAACACCTTGATCCACTCAGAGAAGACAATGAAGGGGGGGGGAGAACAACCAGACCTTGGGGCAGGTTCCCCAACTACCCCCTAGGAACGGTCACAATGAAGAAGTACAAAGTCAAAATCTTGAAGGTGAAAAGAATGATGTCTTCCCTTATCAGCAGGAGAGAAGGGAACAGTATTGGGAGCAACGCTTCAAGGGCATCTAGCAGGAGCTCAGCCACATAAAAGAAGCGGTCAGGAGTAAAGCTCCAGTTATAATGGACACCTTGGTGCGACAGACTGAATCTCCATTCACGCTTGGGGTGTTGCATTTTCCCCTCCCACCAAAGTTCAGGATGCCTCAGATAAAGTCCTTTGATGGAACCAGAGACCCCATGGACCACCTCAATACTTATAAGAACCAGATGAAATTACACGGGTATCAGGATCCCGTACGCTGTCGAGTCTTTGCCATCACTTTGAAGGGTTCAGCTTTGACGTGGTTTAACATGCTCCCCCCAGCCTCAATCTTTTCCTTCAAAGAGCTTTCCATTTCCTTTGTATCCCACTTCATAGAGGCTTGAACCTATAGAAAGCCGAGCTATCACCTTTTGAATGTGAAACAGGGACCACAAGAAAACCTCAGGTCGTATGTCCAAAGATTTAATTCAGAGTCGTTAAAGGTGGATGTCCTAGACGAAAAGTTCGCCATCACTGCCTTCATAGTTGGTCTAGGGGTGCAGTCTAAAGATTTGATGTTCTTCATATCAAAAAATCCCCAAGCAAGCATGGCCGAGGTGCTTGCCAAAGCAGAGAAATACATAAACGACGAAGAAGTTCTTCCGCACATAGAGATAAAGGAAATGAAGAGAAAATAAGGAACCGAAGTCCCAAGAGAGAGAGAGAAAGAAACAGATCTCCAAAGAGAGATAGATTTCCTAGAAGAGACAAAGAGCGATCACCAAAAAGAAGGGGGAACATTAGGAACCGCTTAGGCCCCCCGCAGCCTGAACTACAGCCGAGGTATACACCTCAGCAATATACCCCTCTCATAGCGACAGTATCCCAGATCCTATACGAGGTGCAGAACGAGAAATTTCTAAGGTGGCCTCCACAAATGAAGGCAGATCCGTCTAAAAGAGACCCTACGAAATATTACGAGTATCATAGGGATCATGACTATCATACTGACGAGTGCATCCAGCTAAAGAAGGAGATCGAGTTCTTGATCCAGAGGGGACAGTTACGACGATTTATCGCCCATGACAACCAGGATAGGGCTCCGTCACCACCGACACCCCATCAACAAGCCCCTACGCAGCACCAGCAACCCTTAGGGGAGATCAGAGTGATATCAAGAGGATTTGTTGGCGGTGGAGAATCCAGTGCAGCCAAGAAAGCACACCTGTGCAGAATCAGAGCTGGAGAAGCGTTGAAAGTACACACTGTGTCCAAAATGCCTCGGTTGAGCACAACCATCACTTTCTCGGATTCAGACTTGGAAGGCTGTCAGTATCCCCATGATGACCTGTTGGTCGTAAGGGACATTGTGGCAAACCAAACTATTCATCGAGTTCTAATTGACAATGGGAGCTCAGCCAACATCATTTTTGCCTCTGCCTTTGACAAAATGGGCGTAGGAAGGGAGAAGCTTGAGCCAGTGAATGCTCACTTAAAGGGGTTCTCAGGGGAGAGGGTGCTACCCCTGGGATCCATCCAACTCGTGCTCACTATGAAGGACCCTCCTTGTCAAGCCACCACCACTGTGAAATTCCTGATAGTTGNGCCAAAATCATTTTTGCCTCTGCCTTTGACAAAATGGGCGTAGGAAGGGAGAAGTTTGAGCGAGTGAATGCTCACTTAAAGGGGTTCTCAGGGGAGAGGGTGCTACCCCTGGGATCCATCCAACTCGTGCTCACTATGAAGGACCCTCCTTGTCAAGCCACCACCACTGTGAAATTCCTGATAGTTGATGCCCCTTCTGCATACAACATACTACTTGGAAGACCATCTCTCAATGCAATGAAGGCTATCCCCTCAGCATATCACTTGGTTGTAAAATTTCTTACAGAAAATGGAGTTGGAATGGTCCGAGGAGACCAACGAATAGCTAGGGAGTGCTACATGGCCTCGGTAAAGCAGAAAGAAGTTGAAACTATCCAGCTAGATGAGCTTGACATGAGGGATGAGCTGGACACCAGGCCCATACCGTCAGAAGAGCTAGAGCCAGTCTAGCTCGATAAGGANCTACATGGCCTCGGTAAAGCAGAAAGAAGTTGAAACTATCCAGCTAGATGAGCTTGACATGAGGGACGAGCTGGACACCAGGCCCATACCGTCAGAAGAGCTAGAGCCAGTCCAGCTCGATAAGGAACCTGAACATATTGTTTACGTGGGATCTAAATTGAGCAAAGAAATGAAAGACCTACTCACCCAGTTTCTGAGGAAGAACTTGGGGGTGTTCGCTTGGAAGCAAGAGGACATGGAAGGCATTGACCCCTCAATCATCACACACAAGTTAAGTGTGAATCCCA